TTAAAAAAATTTAGATATGTAAATAATTTGGAAAATGAAAACTTCTAAAAATAGTTTAGGTTATGTTGACTTTTTTGAAATATGTCAGTCCTTGGTGCTATGATTTTTATTTTTATCTTGACTTCAGTTCTAGGATTTACCAAGAATTTGAAGTTACTGTGCCTGATTCTATCACTTCTTGGGTAGCCACTGCTTTCGTGATCTCTGAAGACTTAGGTCTTGGACTAACAAGTACTCCAATGGAGGTAGTATATTAAAGACCTGCTTGCAAATGTTAAGGTGCCCAAAGCACAGGAAGTGTGAACTCTTCAATGGATTTTTAAAAAATGCTTTGCTTATGATGTTGATCAGTGTTTAGAGATTCCTTGGCTTTTCCTTTTTGTTTTTCATAGGTTTTATTCTTTAGAATGTGAGCTATATTAAACTCCTAAATGTGCTACGTCCATATTAAGATTTGGATAAAAACTTTATTATTGACTGAATCCAGCTATTTCCAAAGGCCAGAAGAGAGAGAGAGTTTCTGAGTATTCCCTCTGGAAGGGATGGGCAGACCTTCTCAAAATGGACCCTAGCAGACATGCCTTTCCATTTCTGGTCAAATTGCATCACATGTTACTTCCTAAACCAGTCACTGGCAAGAGGAATATAATGAGCATGTTTGGTCTTAGACCAGTAGCTCTCACCTCTGTCATACCTGAAGCCCCCTTTTCATAACAGATATTTTGTTTTCCCCTTCACCATCTGGAATGAAAGTCATAGAAAATACGGTATACCTATATACTCAATTAAAAAATCAATATGATGCCTTAAGTGAAATATTAAGGAGAAATAAAAGGCAAGTAATGTGTAGTAAAATAATATATACTACACTATATAAGTGGTCGGACATGGCTGCACTAGAAGGCATAAATCTTTAAATACTTACTCCATGCATAGAATCACCCTGTGTGTAACAGCTGCAAGTGAAGTTCGATATACATGTATTGTTTTAGCAACACAGAAACCTTCAGCGGTACTGCCTGTGGTGATGTCAGTCTTTGAAACCATGAACGACTTTTGGTAAAGTTACAAACAAAACAAAGTGCGGTCTTCTGTTGATTTACAAAATAGTTGTATTTGTTTTTTTTTTTTTATTTATTTGAAAGAGAGAATGAGAGAGAGAGAGCACATGAGAGGGGGGAGGGTCAGAGGGAGAAGCAG